GTAATTTTGCCGATAAATTATTTCGTCGAAAACTTTCAAACGAGTATCAGGTAAAATGGTGCTTGCGATAGATTTCGGAAGATGTCGCGTGAGTCAGTGATCATCTGACGATTTGGTAATTAAATTTTAGTTTATCAGTTGGATGTATCACGTGTGTCACGCGAGGGGTGTACGATTTTCAAGATCGTCTGATATTTTTTAAACGGTCAATATCGAATTGTAATAATATACAACGAAGGCATGTATGTAACATGCGAACACGTGCGAAATTTCAAAAGTACTTTAAAAATGATGAAATAATTGTGTGTATATGTAGCAGTTTATATGCTTTTTTAATGGAAATAATCCATTTATAAATAAAATTAACGATCCTTTATTATTTATTTACTGAAATGCCCATGCCGAGGATAGAATTTATGAAATTCATTTAACTCGCAAGAAATAATTGAACCTCTATGAAAATCTGCAGAAATCTGTTTTGCAATGCTTTGCGATACGCAACTCCGCGTATTTCTGATTGCAGTTTCTGGAAATCGTAGTTATCGCGAACGTGGTTTCTAATCGCACTCTACTACAAGCATGTTATGTGTACAACGAAAGAATTATTGTTCACTGTTAGATTGAGATTCTATTGAGATTGTCAAGGTCTTTTCTCTCGACCTGTTGAATAATATCTGTTTATTGTGAAGGTTATCATCGACGAAATTGCATAATGCTCAGGACAACCAATGAAATTGAGCTCACGATAGAAGCGCGTCAGTAATTAATTTCTGCGCGTTTTTATTATTTGAAATTATGTTTTAATTTGTTCTTTTTTTTTTTTTTTTCTTTCACTATCTTGTTGGAACTTGTTCAGTTCTATTGAATAGTACGTGCGTAAAATACTAAGTACGTTCGTAACTATGAGTAATGATTTTACACACATAGCAATCTCCGTTGTTTTTAATCACGTACGTATATGTGTTGGCAATTTTAATGCCTAATTGCGATACTTTCTTGATAATTGAATAATAATTTGATTTTCAGACGCATGCTTGAAATTTTTGATACTTCTCTCCGTTCTTCTACGTTGTGACTTTCATTTAAAGGAACAAGAGAAAAAGGAAGTAGTCCTTGCTGGAAAATAAAAACTTAAGCTTCTTATCGTATTTTTTTCGTTCTACGTAGAACATTATCGTGTGCATGGAAGTTGTAAATTCAATATTGATGAAACAGTTGAAAATTTCCCTGCATCAAGATATGAATTTTGCAATGTAATCACGCTGATTCTGCAGTACAACGTGGAAACCTAGCATCGAATTGGAACTTTATTATGTAAATTTTAGGTCACTGGTTCATCTTGTGGATTTCTTACACGTATGATTCAACTTCTACATGGGTTCAGCTATTCTGCAGTTTTATACTTTGAAAGAGTTATCCTCCTGCCGCTTTGAACATTATTTTCTTTGCTACGAGAAACTGTTCATTAGAAAATTCATTATTTGCTTGTGTCGAAACGCCATTGCGGCTATCCTTTCTCTTTCTATATTACTGAAAATAGTTCAGATCAAATAACAGCACAGTAACAATATCTTGAGTGATCTGTTACTAAGTTTGCATAGTAATTAGTGGCGTTTTAATAAAAAGAAATTTTCAGTCAGCGACCATTAGGTCAGTATTTATACATTTAATAACGACAAAAAAAGGAAGTTACTAAATATTATTAAAAAAAAATCACTGTACCCATTATTTGTTAGTTATTTTTGAAATTGAAGTACATTCAAAGAGGTTGTATGAAAGGAACGTCTTTTCACTGTTACAAAATAAAATGGCAACGAGGGAAGATTTTCCCCAAGATATCTCAGTTATTTCCCAAGAAACTTTATTTGAAGAAAGTCGCTAGTACATAGAATCCACATTAAGGGAGAGACAAAACAGGCACGGAGGAGCCTTGAACCTTCTTCAAGGGAAAATTTAAGAAAGAAATATTTCCCTTCGAGGGAAATATTTGAAGGAAAGTTGTTAATCAGTTACTGAGAGAACTTCTCTAAAACAGTCGACGTACGACAGTAAACACAATGACGAGGTCGAACAATAACAAGCACGATCACGTGATTAGAAGACGATGGGTGAAAGGTGGTAGACCGTCTGTGCATCGATTCGAATCGAAGCCAAAGTAAACGGCGAACTGGTAGAAAATGTGCATTCCTGGCAAGGCCGCTTGTACGAGAAAGAGGCCATCAGACATCCGGGGAGAAACTAACCGTACTTTGCCTGCTTCTTGCCTGATCTCCTCGACTCTTCAACTCAGCCATGTTTTTACGGTTACGTTGCGCTTAATTGCTGCTCCTTCTCGGATTTGTTATAATCCGAATATCTGAGGAACACGTCACTTCCGTTGTTCGCTAGCTGAAAATTTATTATCGTTGGATTTTTGAGTTTCTCTGTTAGGAAGAATTATCGTAGTTTCGTCATTGCTGATTGATCTGGACAGAGATAGTAGAGTAGAAAGTATTTCTAAACACAAATACTTCCAGACATAATTAGAATGTTATTTGAATGATTCACAAAATATTGCCTATTCTATTGATATGCGATCCCTTGAATTACTTTTAAATATTGACATTACTTTGTATAAAGGAGCGATATCTCTGATATTTGTAGATAATTGCGTGATAACTTCATTTTTTCAATTAGAGGGTTTTTCTAAAATGCTTGATAATTAAAAAAACGTGAAAATTTATTATCGTTGGATTTTATTGCTCTTTGTTATATTTTTGGAAATTTTGGATTTTGAAGTTTCTTTGTTAGGAAGAATTATCGCTGTTTCGTTATTGCTGATTGATCTGGACAGATACTAGAGTAGAAAGTATTTCTAAACACAAATACTTGCAAGCATAATTAGAATGTTATTTGAATGATTGAATGAACAATTCCTTGAATTACTTTTTAAATATTGACATTACTTTGTATAAAGGAGCGATATCTTTGATATTTATGGATAATTGCTTGATAACTTCATTTTTTCAATTAGAAGATTTTTCTAAAATGCTTGATAATTAATAACGTATTTTCGTTAAAAATCATTGTTTATTACTGTAGTATACTTTTCGTATCGTATGAATGTAATCGGCGAAGTAGAAAATTAGGAAGAAATTTAAAAAGTATCGACGTTTCTGACGGGGATTATACAATCAGGACAAATTTTATTAGTGAGGTATCTTCGAACTTGTGCTGTTGTACTTTATTACAAGACCAATTCCAGTCGCGCGATTTCGTCAGCAATGCGGTAAAAGTCTATGAACCAAAATGCGAACATCGGCTCTTATGATTTGGTATCTCAAGAGTTTGTGCAAATGCCCACTTTAAACACATTGACAACTGCAAATTCTCGAATTCTTTTACATAATTTGTTTGTCACGTATTTACGTTCGATATATTCATATACATATACATATTGTAAACATTAAAAAAAAAAA